GAGGAAGGCAGTCTGGTGACCAGCAGAGGAAATGCTGGAGATGGAGACACTAAAGTGGAAGTGGACCCAGGAAGAGTTTGAGAGAAAGCTCTGAGAAGTGACAGATCTCGGACAGTGGAAGAGGCTGTCGGAGGAGGGAGAAAGGAGCGAGGATGGTGGTGGCTTCTGGACTGTGTACCCACGTGTGTGTAGATGGACAGCTCCAGTCTTCCCTCAAGTGAGTCAACGGGAACAAAGTGTCTGCTGTTCCCTTACTGCCGCTGCCTGGGTGCACTGCTCAGCACAGAGCAGCCCTCCATTCTCAAGCCCATCCCTTCTGATATTATGGGCTCCAAATAAGAGTGTTGGGGACTACTCGCTGGGACCTTTTTAAAAGTTCCCTTAACAGGACAAAAAGTCAGCTACAACTTGACCTGTCTGCCTCTTTTGTCTCAGTCCTGTGACTCTGGACAGCAGACATCATGGGGAATAACAGTAACAGGCAATGGTCCCCCAGCCCTATGTAGGCTATGCTCTAAGAACATACACATTTGGCAGTTCTAGTGACGCTAAGGAAAGCATCAAGTCTTTCATGTCCCGGGATGGGCCATATGTTCTCGTGTCCAGGCCTCAGTTCTCTGCCTGGGCCTGCCATCCAACAGACATCTATTATTGATCAAGTGCTAACTGCCAGGACCCAAATAGGAGCCTTGTATGTTCCCTCTGTTCACACAAAGCCCAGTGAAGGTAACAGATACAGACACAGTAAGTAAGTGTAGTGACAGAAGTATTATGGGGTGAGGATGACCCCCCTAATCCAGCCTCCATTCTTCCCTACCTGGCCACCTGGAGCTTCACCCCTTCCAGGAAGCCTGAATCGGCCAAGCTGAGGGAGGTACCTCTTTTGTATTCCTGCTGCCCCTCCTCTGTCAGGTTCATATATTGACCACTGAGTACCCAGAACATCTGTCTGGCTACCTCTTCCTTGGCATAGTGAAACAGAGGAAAGTCTAACTCCTCACTGGAACCCAGCATCCAGGGAGCCTGGTCATGCACCCTTGGGGCATATGGAGTAACAGCCTGAGGCGTGAAGAACCCCAAAGATGGGCATCTTCTCACCCCTCCCTCTGTGTTCCTGCCAGGTGTGTCCTCACTGCTGCTCATCACAGCCATCTCAGCCCTTCAGGAGCCAGGCCTTGAGGTTGATACCTGGCATCCTGCTCTCCTGGTGCAGGAGTATCCTGGTCAGAAAGGGTGACCCCCAGCTGCAGGCCTGAGGAATAAGCCATATCCTGTATAGCTCTTAGGTAGAAATGTGGGGAGCCAGGAATGGCTTGAGGATGCTTTGGATTTGCTGCTGCCTCTGAGCTCTGGGATATCTCCAGGCATGACAGAGAGCTTTGAAATAAATATTAGATGATTTCAAACCAGGGTTTTTGGGGGAACATTCTGAGAAGACTTGGGGTAGGGGAGGGTGGAAATAGTGCAGATAGGCTTTGGGGGTCTCTCTGGGCTAATACAGCTGTTCCCAGAGCTCTGGATGAGAATCTCAAGGAAGGACCTGAAATGACTTTCAGTCATAGCCCTCTCTCTTCAAGAGCACTTGGTAAGTTCTGGCCACACCTCCCATTCCTTGTCATCTCCAAGTCTATCTGAGCTAGTGATGCCACGTGAAGCCAGGGCTAAGGCAGAGGGCCTTAGATGCTAGTGCAAACAGTTTTGGACAAGGGTGGGAATTTCCACTCCTATCAGGAGAGCCATCAACGTTGTGTGCCCTGACCTGGGCCTTTGGCCTCCAAAGGGCAGTGGGAAGGCCGGCCCCAGGGCCAATCCCTAGCCATTAATCCCTCCTGCCAGCCCGAATATCCACCCAGTGTGGTCAGACAAAGGACTGCCAGGCCCAGCTACTGTGTTCCTCCCGCCCCAGGGGCTCCACTCAGACTCTGGGCCGCCTGGAATCCAGGCCCATGAGAAAGGGGCCACCTTCACTGACCGTCTTATGCCCGGATGCTCAGCCGCATCACGTCCGGCCCAGGGCCTGTGAAAAGAGGGCCCAGCCACGCTGAAAACACGGATTAGCCCTTGGGCCGCCCCCTGACACCAGTTTGCTCCACTCTGGGAAGCAGGCCCAATGGAGAGGGGGTAGATAGGCACAAAGAATTGGCAAAGTCTGGGTTCTCACCCCTTTGGCCTAGCTCCTCATCCTCACTCTTCTCAGAACTGGCAGAGCCAACCGCACAATCAGGATCATTTATTGAACATATATTAACCAGACTATACACATGACCTGGGAAATCTCAGGGCCCTCCAAAAAACCTTCAGTCAGTCCTAGGATGCAGTGGCAGCCAATTTCCTCCTTAGAGGTACAACACAGAGGCTATGGCAGGGGCTTTGTTGGAGAGCCTTCATCCCTAAGGGAAGGTGAGAAAGGGGAAGTCTCCATCAATACTACTTCTGCATTTGAGTCCAGCTGCAGAGAACACTGTATCTGGCTGGAAAGGTGGCTTGCAGCCTCTCTCCTGATCCCCTGGTTAACACAGGAAAAAAAACCAACTAAACAAAACCAACCAAACAAACAAACATCAAGATCCACAGCAGGCCAGGCCTTCTACACAATCCTTTTCTATGGAGGTATCATTGCTCGCTCTTGGCCGCTGAAAAAACAGGCTTGAACAAGAGGTAGCCTTGTCCCCACAGCTCTGGAAGCCATGTTCTGCTGCCACAGTGGCTTCTCTTACCCTCTTCTGTGGTGAGCTGTGCTGCGTGACTGCACTGTCTTGGGTTCTGTGCTGACACAGGACGAAGGGTGGAGAGGGCAGAAAGGACAGGGTCTGTCCTGACGCGACCGTCCTTGTTTTGCTTGGGACACTGTCTCTAGATCTGCTTCTTTTTCCTTTCTGCTTCCTTGGTTCCCCTCCACCCATTTCTCAGAGTGCAACTGTCCATCTCTCCACCAGACTGTCTCATTTCTCTCTTGCCCTGAGCATTGGCAAAAGGCCTGGCTCCGAAGCCCTTGATGAATGAAGCAGGCTGAACCAAGCTCAGAACTGAAGGAGAAATTGATTTAGGATCCGTGTGGCCTGGACAGGACGTGGCAGTGGCCTGCGTGTAGAGACTCACACAGATGTCTACTTGCTGAGATCTAGAACGTTGATAGGATGGCAGGCTGGGGCTGCGTGTGTATGGGGTGGCTATTCATTTAGAACATGGAATTGAGATGTCTTAGACATCTGTGTGGCTAAGTCCAGTGAACAGCTGGGTCTGTTGACCAGGGGGTCAGGATAGAGAGCAGGAGGGAAGTAAGGTTAGCAGTTAAAGTGGGGGCAAACTGTAATTTATTACTGAAGTCTTTCCTCTTTTGTGTGTGTACGTCATGTAAATGACGTGTACGTGTGTAGGAGTGTGTGTGTGTTTGGGGGCACCCATGTGTGGAGGCAGAAACAATCTCACGTGTCAGTCCTTACCTTCTACAGGGTCTTCTGCTCACCACTGCCTACTGTAAGCAAGCTGGCCCACAGTTTCTGAGGATTCTCGTTTCTGCCTCCTACCTCAAGTGTTGGGACTACCGAGGCACTGCTGAGCCCAGCTTCAATTGGGGACTGAGTTTCTGAGGGAGGGACTTCACATTTGCATGTCAAGTGCTTCAGTCAGCAAGCCGTCCCCCAGCTGGTTACTTATTTTTGAGATGGGGTGTCAAGGCACAGCCTTGCCTAGCCTTTACGTGGCCGCAGTCTCTCGGTGCTGGGATAACGTTGTGTGCTATCTCGGTTGACTACAGCTTCCATTGTAAAGCGATGGGGTTCAAAGAGTGGTGATGGGTTTCGCTCCCGCCCTGCCGCTATTAGCCTACTTAACCTCTCAGAGCTTTGGTTTCTGCAGTCAAGAATTGGGATAAGAGTATCTATCTCCCAGGGAAGCTCAGATGCCAGTGAAATAAAGTCTTCACCAAATACCAGTGGTGACAGTGATGTCACCAGCTGAGAGTACAGCTAAGAGGGGAGCCCTTGAGCTCCATGTCTGAGTTTGGATTTCGACATTCTAGGCTACGGATCACCTGAAGCTAGCTTTGCTCATTTGGAGGGGGTAAGGCATACTCCGTCAGTGGTGGAGTCTGGAGACCCAAACTTTCACAAAGGCTGACTGTACTCACAAGACCTTGATAGTAAGAGCCTCTGGAACTTAGCCTAGCAACCCTTCACTTGCCTCTCTGGTCCCTGCTCCACCTCCACTTCGATTGATCTTGTCTGTCTGTCTGTCTGCTTTAAGAGAAGTCTTCTTCACCCTTTGGCTCCCTGTGTGTGGTGGAGGAGGATGGTACTTTAACAAAAGTCTTTCATCTCTCCATCCCAATGACGTTCCTTCAGCCCCTCCCTCTGTGGAAGCATTTGGGGTATGTGCCTTTGGAGGGGCTCGTACTTTAAAACAGGTGGAGTACTTTTTACCATTTTATATCTTCAAAGAAAGTTCACAAGGTCTGGCTGGAGTCAGGGATGGATAAGGATGAAGGGGATGCAGCAGGGAGAGTTAGACTGTCCAACTATCTTCCCGTAAAACAAAGGCAGCCAGCGTTATCCTCCATCACCCATGCAAGGTAGCTGGATAGTTCCCTGATCAGCCACATAGGGTGCTGAGGGTTAGCAAAGATGGTTGGAACAGGGAATGGGAGCACAGGGGAGGGTGAGGGGTATCTGGTCGTTAGAAGGCACAAAATAGGGAGAGGGCAATAGAGTGTGCTGAATGGGTGGATTTGTGATTGGGATTGACCCAAAGGGGCGGGGGTAATAGGAGCAGTGCGACCAAATACCACGGAGTGGGGATGGGACCGAGACTGACTCAGGGATGAGGCAGGATCTGAGAAAATTGACCCAAAGGGACTAGACCAAGGGAGGGGGAGAAACAGAGGTGGGCTGCTAGCCTGAGAAGGGGGCTGGGAAAACAAATTAGAGGGCAGGTCCGAGCCCTCTCCTCGGGAGGTGGGGGGTGTGTATACATATAAGGCGAACTGCCGACCCCTGCTCTCCCGGAGCTGGGGCAAGAGCTCCGCATCCCTAGGACACCCCGCACATGGATGCGCACGTTGCTTTCTCGGGCTTCCCGGCTCTGCCCTCGGTCTCGCCGTCGGGGCCGCAGCCGTCGCCGCCGCTAGCCGGAGCCGAGCCGGGGCGCGAACCCGAAGAGGTGACGAGCGGCGGGGACGTGGAGGCCACGGCCGCGCCGGGCCCCGGGAGAAGGCGCCGGCGGCCGCTGCAGCGCGGGAAGCCGCCCTATTCGTACATCGCGCTCATCGCCATGGCCCTGGCGCACGCTCCAGGCCGCCGCCTCACTCTGGCCGCCATCTACCGCTTCATCACCGAGCGCTTCGCCTTCTACCGCGACAGCCCGCGCAAGTGGCAGAACAGCATCCGTCACAACCTCACCCTCAACGACTGCTTCGTCAAGGTGCCGCGTGAGCCGGGCAACCCGGGCAAAGGCAACTACTGGACGCTCGACCCCGCGGCCGCCGACATGTTCGACAACGGCAGCTTCTTGCGGCGCCGCAAGCGCTTCAAGCGCGCCGAGCTGCCCGCGCCGCCGCCGCCGCCCTTCCCCTACGCGCCCTTCCCGCCCGCGCCCGCGTCGCCCGCGCGTCTCTTCCGCCTAGACAACCTGCTGGGCCTGCAGCCCGAGCCGCCGGGGCCCGTGGCGTCCGAGCCGCCCTGCTGCGCCGTCCCCGACGCCGCCTTCCCGCCCTGCGCCGCCGCCACCTCCTCCTCGCAGCCGCTCTACTCGGCTGCGCCCGAGCGCCTGGGGCTGCCCCCGCCGCTGCCCGCCGAGCCTCTCCTGACCTTGGCCGGACCGGCGGGCGCGCTCGGGCCGCTCAGCCCCGGGGACGCCTACCTGAGACAGCCGGCCTTCGCGCCGGGCCTGGAGCGCTACCTGTGAGCCGCCGTCCCGGCGGGAGCACCTGGCCGCGCCTCCAGCCCCGCCCGGAGCAGAGCGCGCTTGGCTCTGGGGCACACGAGCAGCCTGGCGCTCTCGGCTGAGTCCCCTTGCCTTGCCTCGGGCTGAACCTTCCTTGCCTTCCTCCAGCCCTGGGGAAGACTCTGACCATCTCACCACCAGACTGAAGCGTCCTCTCCAATCTGACGCCTTCACTCCTCCCTCTTCTTGTATGCCCCACCTATGCACCCCCACAGTGGCAAGTCTCATGCTCTGGAGCTGGACGGTCACCAGTGGGGCCTTTAGCCCCAAGTGTCCTGGTGAGTTCCAGTCTGGAAGCTTTTGTCTCAAGTCACCTCCTCGACCTCTGATGTTTTGCCAACGTCAGAGGTCAGACTCCTGGGTTCATTACTTCCACACCATCTTCCACCATTTACCAACAAGTTTGACAAGTTTGTCCTCCTACCCTGCCCTTGGTTTCTTACTGAGCCCTTTTCCCACACAGACACACCTGGCTGCTCAGTTCCAGGTTCTGAGGACAGTTCTTCAGACCTTTCTAGGTTACAGCACCAGGGGCTCCTGACTGAATGGGGGGATTAATGGGCCTCTATGTCTGCCCCGCCCCCGTGGAAAGCACAGAACTGATCGGGTTGTTGTTACTTTCCAATCAAAGCTAGTTTAATTAAAAACCAAAGAAACCTTTGGGTTTGTTGTGTTGGCTGGTAACTTGGGGAGTGGCTGGGAAGGACGGTTTTCCTCTTGGGATTGACACGACCTGAATCTCCTTCCCGAGTCCTCAGTCTCCTGAAGTAGGATCCAGGAGGATAGCTGTGCACAGAGTCAGCCTGGACAGTCTGCCACCTGCATCCCGCAGACGGTAGAGATGAAATGCGGTGTGGGCGGGTGAATGAGTGAATTTAGAAAGCTGGTTGCCTGATTTTTGAGACCATTCCCAATGCAAAAAAAAAAAAAAAAATAATAATAATAAGGGCGCACATTAATTTGCATTAATCTAATCATTTCTTAGCAAAGCGAAGTGTCCCTTCATCAAAATGGGATCCATGGACCTTTATCACTGGGAGAAAGGCCAGAAACGCAGGGTTTCAGGCCCCAGTACAGACCTATTGAATCATCACATTCTGCATTTTAATAACATCCTCACGTGATTCGGGCACACTATGCTGGAGGAGAGGCAATGGCCCATGCTTTGGCCTCAACCTGAAAGACAAAAATTCCCTGCTCTGATGGAGAAACTAAGTCACACCTTCCCGTTGTGCTCCCTGCTGGATTGGGCAGCAGCTTTGACTGAATTGATTCATGATATGCCCAGCACCAAGGACAGGGCAGCAACATCGCTGCCTCATAGATTGAAGGGTGAGCGAGGGACTTGGCTGGTGACCTTGTCCTGGTCTCTGGTGCTGACCAAAAGCTGTGCTTTTCTCAGATTTCCACTTCAGCTCCCAGCTTAGTAGATCTTGACTTGGGGTAGGGAAGGACAGAGGAGAGGATAAGGTGTCACAAACCCAAGGTCTTATGGTAAATACCTGATGTTCATCCCCTACACACCAGTGTTTGAGGTTACAGGTGATGATGGAAGGCGAGGGTGGCCAGTGAGCAGCTAGCTCATAGGGGAAAGGCGTGCGGGAATCTGAGAAGGCAAGAAGGCCCTTTAAAATATTATTATTATTATTATTATTATTATTATTATTATTATTATTATTATTATAAAAGTGGTGCCTTCTCCTAGCATTAACTGCTTTGAGCTAGGGTCAGATCCAATTTGTTGCCTGGTGCATTGAGGCCCTGATTATCTGTGGACTGACCGACTGGACAACTGAACCCCTTAGTGTCTAATGCTGTCTGCCTTTGTGAAGACTGACTATTTTGGCACTTTCTTATCCATTCTTATTTGCCATCCTCAAAGTGACTTGTGGGGGCATGAGAAGGAGAATGGGATGGAAGTGGAGGCAATTTCTCTGTTCCTCACCTGAGAAAACTTGTCCACCCTGGGCCCAGCAGGCAGCAGGAAATCCAGCTTTGGTTCTCTGATGAGGGTGCTCCACAAAGATCAAAATGCAAATTTTCTTCTGCTTCAAATGGTGTGGCTGCCCAGCTGTCAGCCTCCAAGCAACTGTTTATAAATGCTTCCTCAATTCAGGGCATCTACAGGGAAGGGAAGACCCCACTTGCCACCCTGAAGCCAAAAAAAAAAAAAAAACCTCCCTTGGCTCTGAATTCTATTCTTTTCTTTTATGGACTGGATTTCTCTGTGTAGCCCTAGCTGTGCTGGGACTTGCTACGTAGACCAGGCTGGCCTTGAACTCAGAGATGTGCCTGCCTCTGCCTCCCAGGTACTGGGATTTAAGGCATACATGTACCACCATGCCTGGCTCTGAATCCCATTGTTACCACTGCAGACATCTCGGTGTCCAGGATTTGAGGGCACTCAGGAAAATGCTAGCAAGGTCAGTGTGGAACTGAAAACCTAGAATGACTTATTTTCCATTTCTTTTTCTTTCCTTTCTTTCCTTTTCCTTTTGGGCAGGATCTTTATTCAACAGCATCACGGGTATGCTATGCCCAAGAGAGATACAAACAAGAAAACTTGTGTATGTCTTCAGAGAGTTTGCAGTTTGGAAAGTCATATGTCAAGTGCCTTAACTTTTTGGCATTTTGGCAGATATGAAAAAGCTATAATATAACCCAGCTCTTCCATTAAGAAGCCCTGGAGATGGGCTGGGAGATGGCTCGTCATCCTATGCAAGCATGAGGACTGGAGCTGGGATCACCAGAGTCACTTTGCTGGCTCCCACGCATCATCCCAGCTCTGTGAGGCAGACAGTTAAATCCTGGGACCTCACAGCTTGATCAGTCTTGATGAAACTGGAGCTCCTTTTCACCGAGGGACCCTGTCTCAATAAGGTAGGTGGGCCTGGAGAGATGGCTTAGTGATTAAGAGCACCGACTACGCTTCCAGAGGACTCCAGTTCCATTCCCAACACCCACATGGTGGCTCACAATGTCTGTAACTCCAGTTCCAGGGGATCTGATGCCCTCTTCTGGCCTCCTTGGGCACTAGGCACGTACATGGTGCACAGACAAGTATGCAGGCAAAACATTCAAACACGTAAATTAAAACTTTTTTTTTTTGAAAGAAAAAAGTTAGAAGTTAGAGCTGTAGAGATAGCTCAGCAATTAACAACATTTTCTGGTCTTGTAAGTACCTGGGTTCAGATCCCAGCACCCAAATGGTGGCTCACAATTTTCTGTAACTCCAGTTCCAGGGGATCTGATATCTTACTTTAACCTCTTTGGGCACCAGATATACAAGTGGTATCCATACATACATGCAGGCAAAAATACTTATACACATAAAAAAATTTAAAAAAATTAAAGGAAAATCAGAAGTCATTTTAATCTGAAGGCATACTTTAATGCTTATTTTATTGGTGCTGGGGATTGAACCTAGGGCCTTGTACACCCTGGTCAAGCACTGTACCACTGAACCACATCTCTAGTTCTTTAACTTAGGTTTTTGTTCAATTGAAATTCGCACATAATGTCACAAGTCAAATAGCAATCAAAAGCTCACAATTGGTGTCTTTCACTGCTCTTAAAAACTCTGCATCTGACCCTACGAGCAATAACTCCAGTGCAGTAGTGCAGTTCTCCAAGTCCAGTCCTAATTTGTTTGTTTTGTAAGGTATTTCCATGTTTATGTTCCTCTCTTGAGACAGGAATAAATGCCTTTTTCCCTGTTTTTTTCTCTTTTTCATGGTGCTGGGAATCAAATCTAGGCCTTGAGCATGTCAATCAAGTGCTCTGTCAACGAAAGGCCACCTCGGCACAAATGATTAACTTTCATTTACCTCTAAAATCTCCTCTCTCCTATTGCCTTTGGGCTGACTTCGTCTTTATAATAACATTTATTCAATTACTTTGTATACTGTAAACACTGTGTTATCTGATAAACCACGAGTATACAATGTTCACTTTTGTGTGTTCCATATTTTAATTTTTCCAGTATCTATCTTTTTGTTTTCATTTACTCATTTTCTATCTACTGCTAAATCTCCCCCTCTCTTTCCAATATTACAATTTTCACGAGACCAAATGTATGAGAAAATTCATCACTGTTGTTTTTGCTGCATGTCTGCCCTCCTGGGGGCAACTCTCCCACTTTTCTCTGTTCTCTGGCTCCAGTCTGGACTGGTGGTTCTCCATGTCTGCTGTGCAGATGTTGCTCGGGAGTTTCTTTTTGCCATTCCTTCATCTCTGTCCTGTGTTGCATCTTCTGTTTCCTGGATTCCATATCATCCTTTCTCTTTGTTTATTTCCTTGTTCCAGTAGAGGTAAATTGTTTTGGAAACCACATATCTGAAACTAAGATGATTATTTTAACATGAAAAGCTAAATATGCACTTTGACAGTGAAATAGTTGAGTCAGAGCTGTGTTCTGTAGACGTTCCCTGGGGGAGGGCGTAGGGAACGAGAGAATTGGAGGTACTTCCTCAGTTTAGTATGTGTTACCTTCAAAGAAGCTGGGAAGGTAGCTCAGCATGCCGGTGAGTGTTTGGACAGGAAGCCGAACCACTGAAAATTCTTTATTTCTTTATTATTATTCTGTGTGTGAGAGATGTATATGAGTGAGTGCTGTTGTGCGTGTGCCACGGTGTGTGCATATGTCTTAGTGTGCATGTGCAGATCAGGAAACAATTTTTGGAAGTCAGTTTTCTCCTTCCATCATAGGTTCTGGGGATCAAACTCAGGTTATCGGGTTTTCGTGGCAAGCCCTTCACCCACTGAACCGTGTTGCTCTCTTGAGAAGGAGCTGAGAGAAAAGGGCCTCAGACAGAGATGGCTCCTGATCTAGGAGAACCTGAAATGCGGGGAAGATGGTTTGGACTTAGGATGGTGTCAAACGAATTTGAGGGCCTGTAGATTGAACTCAAGAAAGAAGCCAACATTATTATCCTTGCACATGGAAAACTGAGTACACGGGAGAGTGACATCCGTGACCATGGCCTGACAGTCACGTCAACAGAAAAGTTCCTTCAGGCAATTGTCAGATCGCTGGATGTAATTCGGGTTGACCTAAGGAAGAAAAATGAGCAAAATGGAGGGCCCTCCTTCGGTGTGGCTGGGTTATGGAAGCTCATATGAAGTACATCGCTGCTCTGGGAGATGCTAATATTATGGGACAGGGAGGATTTTGCAAGATACAGGGGTTGATATAGTATACTTTTAAATGAAAACAATCCCATGGCCTCCAAAACAATTGAAAACTTATTTAAATAAACAACTCTTAGGCTAGAAGAGAGTTAATATTACAAACTACTTATGAGTATATAAATTGAAAACCATACATTTATAAAAGTGGACTTTTAAATCCATAAGCCAAACTTTTGTAACCTCAAGCGATGTAAATGGTGTGAGAGGGGACCTGAGGCAAGACGGGGAGACATTTAAAAGGCTATTACAGAAAAAGATGCTACAAAGCCACAGAAAGAACTGACCACTGACTAAAGTCTGGCTTGATTAATGTAGGGGGGCTGCTAGCCTTACTAGATCTACAAGCACAGCAAAGAAACCCTTCAGAGGCAGTTCCTCAAATGCCCCCCCCACAGAACACA